TTTATTTTAAGGTTATATTATTTATTTAATATTATTGTTTAATTAATATTATTAATTATTAAAATATTAATATAAAAATCTCAATTTAGATTACACTGCAAAAAGTGATGTTTTGCATAATTTTTCAGCACAAATATCTAAACATTGTTAAGTCAAGATACATTTGCTTGAGATGCAAATCACACAAGTCTTGTTTTCTGAGAAACTGATTAAAATTCAAATATCTGCCAAAGGGGTCAGAAAAATCAGCTTAATTACCAGGGAAAACAAGTTGATTTTCTGACCCGGTTGGCACATATTTGTTCTTGTTCTTAGCATGAACTCAGTTAATTTTAAAAAAAAAATGTGATTTGCATCTCAAGTAAATGTACAGTGGTGGACAAAATGATTAGAACACTAGTATTTCCAGCAGATAAAACTGGCTTTTAAGTCAGTTATTTCTATCTTTTGCTGTAGTGTGTCAGTAGGAAATATCAGTTTACATTTACAAACATTCATTTGGCCATTAATTGTAATAATCCAGTGAGATTTATGTTAGTGCTCCACACAGAGATGTGATCTGATCATCATCAGTCTGTCTGGAGTGACATGTAGAAACAGAACAAACTGAGACAGACTCAATCCAGAAGAACTGTGGCAACGTCTCCAATATGCTTCAAGAAACCTTGTACATAATTTAAGAAAACAGATATAAAAAAATCTGCTCAAGTGCACCGAGGGCAAAAGCTGCTTTAAACAAAGGATGCTCACACCAAATGTTGATTTAATTTAGTTATTAGAAGTTAATTGATAAAGAAAATCTATTTATGACATTATTTTTGACAGCCTCCTCATTTTACAGCATTTTTACACAAGTGCCTAAAACTTTTAACAGTACTGTAGCTTTGCAGGAGGTTTCTTGAAGCATCAGTTCTTCTGGATTGAGTCTGTCTCAGTTTGTTCTGTTTCTTCAATTAAAGAAACAGAACAGACTGATCAATCAAAGGGGTTTCAGGCACCAAATCACAACATGACTTGCCCAGAAATCCTGTGAATAAAGCCTCACCTGTGACCAGGCTCCGGTCCTCCACTGAGATGGGCAGACGCTGGTGTTACAGGCTCTGCGGGTCTCGGGACGCTCCTCGCTGCAGTATTTAGTGTGAACGGGTCTGTTGGTGCCGTTCTGGAGCGGCTGCATGCACTGGACCACGCGAGACTGATATCCCAGCTTCCCGCAGGATTTACTGCATGGACCCCACTCCTCCAACACCCACCTGCACACAAACACACACCTCGGTTAGGCTGCATTCGGGTCTCAGGTCGAGGCATATGACGGCATCAAATTTACATGTTGCAATTAATTGATAATGCTTTTATTATCACAATAGCTGCAAAAAAGTGTTGTCATAATACAGTATAACAGGTTTAATAACTTCTTTCTTATAACGAAAAGAACTAAACATTTAAATACAATAAAGCAAAACACAAAAAAATGTATACAGTAAAAAAAATTCCCACACAGATTAAAGTGCAAAAGAATTATAAAGACCAATAGGTATCACTTTACAATAAGATCTCATTAGTTAACCTTAGTTAATGCATTAACATTCACAATGAGCAATAGCTACATTTGTTACAGAAGTTATAAAAGCAGCTCAGCCAATCAGAATCAAGCACCGGAACTATCCGTTTTATAATATTCTTTGTTAAAAGATACAACTGTTAGCTTGAGTTCATTAAATAACAGAGTTGCAACTTTTGATTTTAACGGGTTATTAAATATAGAAATGACCTAATTAATGAATGTTGAGAAGAATTGTTTATTGGCAGTTTATGTTAACTAATGAATTAACTAATGTTAATTTAACTAATGTTAATGTTAACATTATAAATATATACCTTTATATTTACTATTTGAACCAATGCAGAAGTTATTTCAGGGCAAGACCGCCCTGATTGTTAAGCGAAACGTGATTGGCTATAACAAGAACATGCTATGATTGGTCAGCGAAGTGAGGCTGTTATCTGATTGGCTTGAGTAGATGGTGGGTGGAGTCCACGCATTTGTGAATCGTCAGTGCCTTGATGCTAGAAATGTTGCAAAATGCACAAATGCTTGCAGCGATTCACAAATGCACAGCGACTGATCCACAAATGAATGCCAGGCAAAGTTGTGTTTGTGACATAAAAAGATATTTGTGAATATGTTTTTTATTTGCAAATCTCATTTAATTTGTCTTTTTTTGTGAATTTAATTAATGTTTGTGAAACTGAAAGATTTTTTTGTGGATCTCATTCCATTTATTTGTCAATATGTTTAATATTCACGGTATTTTGAAGTGCCTACGATAACAATATCGTGCATGTTCATTATCGTGATATATGGCATTACCGGAATACATGTTTAGTCTCAGGTGACTCACGTGGGCTGGCTGCAGCTGTTGGTGTTGCAGCGTTTCCGGATGGGTTTGGGCTTTTTACTGATCTCACAGAAGTTCCTGTGAACCAAACGCCCGTCGCTCTTCCTCCGACAGCCGTATTTAGTGTACTGGACACCTGAGGAACACGCGTGCATTAGTACTTACAAAGTGCATTTATACACTATTGCTCAAACTTTTGGAATAATTATGATTTTTAATGTTTATGAAAGAAGTATCTTTTGCTCACCCAGATGCATTTATTTGATCAACAATACAGTCAAAATTATGGAAGCTTGTTTCCGCCATGGAATAAAAATGGTAATTGTGACTTTCTATCTCACAATTCTGACTTTCTTTCTTGTGAGTTTACATCTCTAAGTTCTGACTTTTTTCGCAATTGCGAGTTTACATCTCTAAGTTTTGACTTTTTTCACAATTGCGAGTTTACATCTCTAAGTTCTGACCTTTTTCACAATTGCGAGTTTACATCTCTAAGTTCTGACTTTTTTCTCGCAATTGCGAGTTTACATCTCTAAGTTCTGACTTTTTTCGTAATTGTGAGTTTACATCTCTAAGTTCTGACTTTTTTCGTAATTGCGAGTTTACATCTCTAAGTTCTGACTTTTTTCACAATTGCGAGCTTACATCTCTAAGTTCTGACTTTTTTCGTAATTGTGAGTTTACATCTCTAAGTTCTGACTTTTTTCGTAATTGTGAGTTTACATCTCTAAGTTCTGACTTTTTTCGCAATTGCGAGTTTACATCTCTAAGTTCTGACTTTTTTCGCAATTGCGAGTTTACATCTCTAAGTTCTGACTTTTTTCGCAATTGCGAGTTTACATCTCTAAGTTCTGACTTTTTTCGCAATTGCGAGTTTACATCTCTAAGTTCTGACTTTTTTCGCAATTGCGAGTTTACATCTCTAAGTTCTGACTTTTTTCGCAATTGCGAGTTTACATCTCTAAGTTCTGACTTTTTTCTCGCAATTGCGAGTTTACATCTCTAAGTTCTGACTTTTTTCGGACTTTTTTCTCGCAATTGCAAGTTTACATCTCTAAGTTCAGACTTTTTTCTCGCAATTGCGAGTTTACATCTCTAAGTTCAGACTTGGACTTTTTTCTCGCAATTGCGAGTTTACATCTAGAAGTTCTGACTTTTTTCGCATTTGCGAGTTTACATCTCTAAGTTCTGACTTTTTTCGCAATTGCGAGTTTACATCTCTAAGTTCTGACTTTTTTCGTGCAATTGCGAGTTTACATCACAAAGTTAGGACATTTTGCTCACAATTGCGAGTTTAGATCTTAAAGTGCTGACTTTTCTTTTCAATTGTTTCTTTTTCCACCGCGGAATAAAAAATAAATGTAAGTGCAACTTTTTTCTCATAATTGAAAATCCAGCTTTGCATCACAGGAATAAATTACATTTTAAAATATGTTCAAATAGAAAACAGTTGTTTTAAATTGTGATAATATTTCACACAATATTTTTGATCAAATAAATGCAGCCTTGGTAAGCATATGTTAAAAAAAAAAAACGTTTAAAAATCTCACGGACTTGGACTTTTTTCTCGCAATTGCGAGTTTACATTTCTAAGTTCTGACTTTTTTCTCGCAATTGCGAGTTTACATCACAAAGTTAGGACATTTTGCTCACAATTGCGAGTTTAGATCTTAAAGTGCTGACTTTTCTTTTCAATTGTTTCTTTTTCCACCGCGGAATAAAAAATAAATGTAAGTGCAACTTTTTTCTCATAATTGAAAATCCAGCTTTGCATCACAGGAATAAATTACATTTTAAAATATGTTCAAATAGAAAACAGTTGTTTTAATTTGTAATAATATTTCATGTTATTACTGTTTTTACTGTATTTTTGATTAAATAAATTCAGCCTCGGTGAGCACAAGAAACTTCTTTCAAAAACGTTGCAAATTATTTCAAAAATGATTTCAAACTTTTGTAATAAATCTCAGATGGTGTTGAATGGCACACCTCCGCCGCAGGGTTTGGAGCACTGCGACCAGCTCTTCAGGGCCCACTCGTACGTGTCCAGTTCGGCCAGCAAAACATTGTTGTTGGTGATGACCGGCAGAAGATCTTCATGAATGATGTATTTGTAGCTCAAACTGATCTTGGTGTCCTCGGCCTGCGGGACGACCTGTTCAAAGCGACAAACTCAACACCTGCCGCATCAACTCAATCAAACTCAATCAATCTAGGTTAAGCCAGGATTAGGCCATAGTTCAATTAGGACATTTAAGTATCTTTTATAAATGTGCCTTAGAAAATAACAATACTTGTGTGCATCTTGAGACAAAACAATGGCACTGACATATGCACTGACATATTTTAATATTTGTCAGGGTAAGTTTCTTTCAGGTAAAACAGCCCAGACATGCATTTTAGTCTGGGACTAGGCTTAAGCCCTGTCTGTGAAACTGGTGCCATAAGCGTTAAGGCCGTTTCACACTGAGCACGATGCAAAAATGCGAGGCAAAACACAGACAAACAGTGCTTTCACACCGAGTGCGAAACGATTGATCGCCTTACATACGATTGATATGCATCTCGTATATGGTCTGCTGCTCAATACACAGCATTAAATTAAGATAAATAAAGTATGGTTCTACACCAGAAACACAAACTCTCTATAATGCTTACATTACAAGAGTGCATCCTAAAATATAATTAGAGGTATAATTAACATCAAGCTACACTTGAAAATGTATGTAATCATTAATGTATTTGCTAAAAAAAAAACACTTTAAACCATCATTGAGTGCTTGTAATAACTTCCGATTGTGATATAGTTGATTTTGATTCTATAATAGGCAGACGTGCACTCTTTGTATGTTTAATAACGCTACACTGCTTATCACTTGTCATAAACAACCATTATTGTTATAAAAATACCATGAGCTGCATACAAAACACATACAGAAAATATATCGTCATAATCATATGTGACCCTGGAGAACAAAACCAGTCTTAAGTCACTGGGGTATATTTGTAGCAATAGCCAACAATACATTGTATGGGTCAAAATTATTGATTTTTCTTTTATGCCAAAAATCATTAGGACATTAAGTAAAGATCATGTTCCATGAAGATATTTTGTAAATTTCCTACCGCAAATATATCAAAACTTAATTTTTTATTAGTAATATGCATTGCTAAGAACTTCATTTGGACAACTTTAAAGATGATTTTCTCAATATTTAGATTTTTTTGCACCCTCAGATTCCAGATTTTCAAATAGTTGTATCTCAGCCAAATATTGTCCTATCCTAACAAACCATACATCAATGTTTAAGCTTATTTATTCAGCTTTCAGATGATGTATAAATCTCAATTTCGAAAAATTGACCCTTATGACTGGTTTTGTGCTCCAGGGTCACAAATGTCTATTTGCTTTCATAATTCATGTGTAGAAAAAATGTTTCACTCGATTTCTAGAGATGTACAGACTGAACACGCGCTTTGATTCAACAATCGTGCATGTGGAAGAAAACGGACAGTGCTCTTCAGATCACATTCATAATAGAAATGATATTAAGAACATCTGAGAATAAATCTGGTCTCGGATACCAATGATAACAAGAACTCAGCATCCTCTTCTCTCTCAGAATACTCTTCTTCGGTGTTTGTTTAAACTGGTTTTCACAACAGCGCCACCACTCTCTCCCTTTTGTGCAACAGCAGCTGCTCCGGGCGCGGGATCTTAGCTCAAATCTGATTGGACGGCCCGGGGAAAAAAAATAGACACACAGGACGGAAAAAAAAATCCTCGCTTTTTTGCGCCACGAATGTTTGCATCTAGTGTGAATAGCCCCATAGGCATCTATTGTTTCGATTCTAAAGCATCATCGTGTTGAACATTCGCGCCAAATTTTCACGTTCAGTGTGAAAAGGCCTTTACGCCGCTCTTACCAGCACCACGATGCCTTCGTGCAGTGGCCCGACGGTCTTCAGCGATTCTTTGCTGTTTGCCACCGAATATTCCCACTCCAGGCCGTTCTCAATAAAAGTCTTGGACGTGATTTCTTCTCCCTTGGCGTTCAAGATAAAACTGCCAGTGACCTGATTTTTAACAGCTGAGGAACGCACGCACGGACAGAAGAGAAAGAAACATCTTTAGAGGAATATTATGGGCTCAATACGACTTAAATTCTATTAACAGCATCTGTGGGATTCTGTTTATTACCAGAGAAAATCATTTTAACAGAGAAGGGCTGAAGATGAAACATTGTGCAGAATATACTAGTTTTTAATAAATGCTTCAACCTATAGTATGCAACATTACATCATATCTGTTTTAAATGTTTTATTACATTTTTTGTTATTATACTCCTTATAATATTTTATGATACTACTACAGTTTTTATTTATATTTTGAATTTAATTTGATATTTTCAGTTTTTATTTTAATTTTAATTCAAGTTTTAGTAATTTTTTTATTTTAAAAAATATTACTATTTAGTTTTAATTTATTTATGTTTCAGTTTTAGCAATTTTCCAATACTGTGCAGTTTTAGGCATTATAGAATGATAAAGGTTTAAAACTGTGGTGTGCTACATTATATCATATATTTATCTTCTATTTTAAATGTTTAATTAAATTTTGTGTAAAAATATCTTTATTATCCAATATTACTTATATCTTATATTAGTTCTTGTTAATATTTTTGTTTCAGTTTTCATTTCTAGTTCAAGTTTTTGTCATTTTTAGTAATGTTTTTTTATTTTCATTATTTTTTTTAATTTCAGTATTAGTAATATAGTACTTCAACTTAAACTTATTTCAGTAAGTTGTAAAGGTAACATTTCTACATTTTATTTAGATTTTCATCTAATATGTATATTTTGTTATTTCGGTTTTATTTTCAATTTCACTTCATTTATTTATTTATAAACCACTTTTCACAGTGCATTAATGAAATATAATAATGAAAATGTTTTTTTTATATAGTTTTGGTTTTAGTTAACAACACTGCTATATATCATACTATAAAGTCTATACTACAAAGTACACACATAGTAAGAATAGTATGCTATTCTGAACACAGACAACATCAATCCATGTGCATGTTGTTTTACGGTCATAAAATAAAACTCTTTGTACTTCACATTTAAACACTTCATATTTTCTCTGATAATAAATCAGGCTTTCAGCAGAAGCTGAACATGAGCTCAGGGATTCAAGTCAAAGAAAAGAAAGAATTACAAACATAACCATTAGAACAAACTGCTTAAGCCAAGCTGGGAGATGTTGGGGAATCTAAAATGGCATGCAAAGCATGATGGGAAGGCAGTAATTGGTCTCAATAGGATGCATCGCTGGAGAAAAGCATTGATTCCTACTGAAAGATGCACAGGTACAAACTCACCAATTACGTGAGGCGACGTTTCATTCTCCTCGATCACAATGTGCCGAGCGCCAGCAGGAATATCAAACATCTTCAGCAAACCTAACACACAGAGCGAGAGCTCAAGTGATCATGTCTGACAATAAAGAACCCAATATTTCACTCAGATTTCATGCAAAGATTATAGATTGCATTTTGCTTAAAGCAAATGAGGCATATTTAGCACTAATTAAGTTATTTGCATAATAATAAAACACATTTTATCACACTACTGTGCCAAAAAAATCAATCTCATTATTCTGATTTTAAAGTGAAATTGCTTTCGTGAGATTCATCCAGACATGAAAATATGAAACACGGAGATAGTCAGAGGTACAGAGCTGACCTTTACTTTTGGCCCGAGGCGTTTTGCATGTTTGACAAGAAACAATTCGATAGATGAAGCTCACCAAGAAAAGGTCCTGCTTATATTTCATCACAAAATCATAAATAATTTTTTGCATAAAGGAAACGAGGCCTATTTTAGCACTAAAGAAGTAATCTTCACAAAATAAATCACATTTTACCGCACACATTTTCATTACTTTTTGGGGGATGGGGGGGGGGACACATTATTTAGATGATTTTGGAGTAAAATATGAACTAGACTTGTTTTTATATTTTAATTTTTTTAATTTTTTATGTTTTTTAAATATTTCTATTTAGTTTTAAATTATTTTTATTTCAGTTTTTGTAATTGCAGTATTCCGTTTAAACTCATTTTATTTCAGTTAGTTGCCAAGGCAACATTTCTCAATTTCATTTAGTTTGTTTTCAATCTAATATTTATACATTATTTTTTAGTTTTAACAAAAATGCTTTTTAATAATTTTGTAAACACATTTTATTTAATTTCAGTTAGTTACCATGACAACATTTTCAAATTTTATTTAGTAGAATTTTAATCTAATATTTATCTTATTTTGTTTTGTTTTATCTCAATTTCATTCTATTTATTTATTTATAAAGCACTTTTCCCACTATACAGTATTAATGATATTTATTAATGAATTCAAGAAAATGTTTTACTATACATACTACACTATAAAGTCTATATACTACAAAGTGCACAAATACTAGAAAGCACTAAAACTCTTGTTTTACTGTTGTAAAATAAAACTCTTTGTACTTCACATTAAAACACTACATTGTTTCTTTTAAAAAATCAGGCTCTCAGCAGGAGCTGAACATGAGCATGTGGCATGCATCCAGGCATGTGTTTTTTAGGCCACAGAGAAAGACTGAATAAACGCTACTGTAGTAAATAATGAAGCGTGGTTTCGTCAGTGTTTGTCCGGAGGACGGCTGAATGTGTTTGCTCTCCGTCTGAGTTTGTACCTGTCTTCTTCGGGGTTTTGGTGAGCGTGAGTTTGACGGTTCGACAGTGAGAATTGTCTCCTTCACAGACGCCGCATTTATCCTCCTGTTTGTACGATCCCACCTCCTTATCACAGCCGACGTGCTGATCAGAAGAGCCAGACAGGAGGGATTCATTCACTCATTCACACTTAAACAGGTCAGACACACTGAAGAGACGGTGTGCTCGATCAATAGTGTGTCTCTGACTGCATTTATTTCTAAAGTTCGTTTCAACAAACTTGTTAAAAAAACATTCACACGCTTGTTGCAGTCATATATTCAACAAGTTTGTGAAAGTTTAGGGTCAGTAAGAGATTTATTTCATGACAGATATAAATACTTTCATTCAGCAAGAATGCATTAAATTGCTCAAAAAAGTGACAGTAAAGATACTGATAATGTTACAAAAGATTTCTATTCGAAATAGATGCTGTTATTTTCAACTTTCTATTAATCAAAGGATTCTAAACACTAAAATGTATCATGGTTTCCACAAAAATATTGTGCAGCACAACTGTTTTCAACATTGATAATAATCAGAAATGT